TTGAGGCCTTCCGGGATGGGAAGAAAGATGTCCTCGTTGCCACTGATGTTGCTTCCAAGGGCCTGGACTTCCCAGCCATCCAGCACGTCATCAACTACGACATGCCAGAGGAGATTGAGAACTATGGTGGGCACTGGGCCCTATGGGACCAATGAGGGCATGGTGTGCGGGAGGCCAGCAAGGCCCTGTGTTGTCTGGGGACAGGGATGGTCTATCACACCACACTCATCCAGGCCTGGCCCTGTCTCTGTCTCCACAGTTCACCGGATTGGGCGTACAGGTCGCTCAGGCAACACTGGTATTGCCACCACCTTCATCAACAAGGCCTGTGGTGAGGAACAGTGTGGGGCTGGGGCGTGTGGCTTTGGGAGGCAGTTAGGCAGTGGCCAGGAGGTGTTCTGAGCAAGCTCGGTGGCCTGGAGGGGAGATGGTGGCTCGGGCTGTGCCTGATACGTGTTCTGCCCCCAGATGAGTCGGTGCTGATGGACCTGAAGGCTCTGCTCCTGGAGGCCAAGCAGAAAGTGCCACCTGTGCTCCAGGTGCTGCACTGTGGGGACGAGACCATGCTGGAGATTGGAGGTAAGAGGCTTCAGCCTGGCACAGGGACCCCCCTGGGCTGTGGACAGGACCTCCAGCTCCTTGGGGCAGTTCCTGCCTGGCCATGCAGGCAGCCCAGTGCTGCAGCATTGGGGAGACACTGCAGTGGGGGCTGCTACCCTGGCATGGCACAGCTGCCCCTGACCTCAGCCCTTCCCTTGCAGGTGAGCGGGGCTGTGCCTTCTGCGGTGGCCTGGGCCATCGCATCACCGACTGCCCCAAGCTGGAGGCCATGCAGACCAAGCAAGTCAGCAACATCGGCCGCAAGGACTACCTGGCCCACAGCTCTATGGACTTCTAGCTTGGGCAATGTGCTGCCTCATGCTCCCCCAACACAGGCCTGGGTTCCCTTACGGCCCAGGGGCCTGTCCTGCACTGCTGTGGCCCCTTTTCCAGGCTTTTGGCCACTGGGACTGTTGCCAGCTCAGCCTGATGAAGCTCCTGCCCTGGAGGAAATATGTGGAGCTGTGCTGCAACAGCTTATTACATCAGCAGTGTGTTGGGCAAGCAGGTAGCAGTGCCTAAGGGGAGGAGGAAGCCCCAGGTGGGGCGACTGGTCTGTGGCCAGCTGCCTGCTGCCCCTGCCAGCCCCTGGAAGTGCCAGGGTCTTGCATTGCTCCTCACAAAGCCCCCCAGTTTCTCTGGGTCCACCCCCCTTACCTGGATTTATGCATCCCTAGCAGGTGGCTGTTCCTGTATCCCCAAGCACTGGGATGGAGCCAGGGTGAGGCAGAGCATGCTGCCTCATAGCAGAACAGAACATGTCAGGCACTCCCAGAGGTGCTTCCTGTGCTCTGCCCCCGTGTTCTGCCCCACTGCCCTGCAAGGGGGAGGGCAGGCACACAGACATCTCCTGTGGCCCAGCCTCTGGCCCCCATCCACACCCCAAAAAGGGGAAGTCACTGTGAGAAGGAAGTCTACCCCATGCCTTTGCTTCGGTCACAGCAGTCACATTTTCTCTGCTGCTGGCAGCCTGAGTCCCTGCTCCTTGCACTGGCTGCCTGGTCAGCACTGGGCCCATGGAGAGACCAGTGAAGGATGGGATCCTCTATGTGCAGCACTGCAAATTTGGAAAGGTAAAGGGTGGGTTTGGGCTGGGACAGGTTTCCCCTGATCTGTCTTGAGGCCAGGCCTGGGGTTGGGCCCCTGACAGCCTGGGAAGGGGGAACTGGGGCCAGACCCCTTGGAGCTGCCCTGGGGGAGCTCTGGGCTCTGCAGCCCCATGAGTGGGGCTCTCCCTGTGGCCAAGGGGACTCATCTCTGTGGACACGCACTCAGGCTCACCCCTGTGCGTGTGGTCCTTCTCGCTTGGTCACCGCGTGAGTTGCAATGGATCAATAAATGTGTGTTAACGCGGCACAGCTCTGGTGTGTGTGTGGGAACAGGGCCTTGGGGCAGCACGTGGGACATGGGCCTGCACCCAGCCCTCCTTCAGCCTGGCCTTGGGGGGCCAGTGCCATCCACAGGGCATCCTTATGGCTTGGGCTGCTGGCCTGGGCCCTCAGGGTGGCCTCTGAGTGGCACAGCCCTTGGGGCAGGGTATGGGTAACATGATGGGAGTCCCCAGGATTGGGACATCTCTGGGGAGATGTTGGGTCTTGGCAAAGCAGGTCCTACTGGCACAGTGGCCATGCCCTGTGGGGGTCTTAGTGGATGTGTGGAGCTACAACCTGACATCCCTACGGACCAAGAGCTGAGCCCTGGAAGCATAGCATGCGGGGCTGTGTGCATGGGGCCTGTGCCCTGCTGTGTAGGAGACAGGTGGGCTGGTGGCAGTGGGTATTTTGGGTACTTGGCTGCATGTGGTTCCTGCAGGGTGGAGGCTCTGCTGCACTTTCGAGGTGCGTGGGGGCACACGCCCCCACTAATCCCAGGACGGGCTGGGAAGGTGCTGGTGCAGCAGAGGCTCCCCTGGGAGGAAACAGCTCGGCAGATGTGAGATTTGCCAGCAGGAGCCTCAGCAGCTCAAAATGGCTTTAATTTGCATCAGGGTCTGTCCTGAGAGCAGCTCAGAGCTCAGCTGCAGCAGTGGCAGGCCGGCACTTGCAGCTGGGAACAAAGAGCAGGACCTGGTGCTCAGGGAGCTGAGAGCAAGTGTGACTCACCCAGAGAGCCATGCCAAGCCTGCTCAGGGCAAGGCCCCCCCTCAACCCAGTTTTGGGACTGCCCTGCCCTTCAGTTTGAGGTTCTGCACTGGCCCCAGCTCTCCAAGCTGTCGTGCAGCACCTGGTGGGTGCAGGCCAGGACCCCCATGGTCCTTCCTGTGCCGTCTGGCTCTTCCCAAGCACTGTTGGCCCTGCGTGGGGGGCAGCGCTAACCCTTTCTTCCCCTGCCTGTGCCCTTCCCGTGCCGCAGAGGTCCTGGAGGAAGATGCGAGCACAGCTGTTTGCTGCCAGTTCCTATGGTGTGGCGCGCATGGAGAAGTTCGATGTGCGGGATGATGGTGTGACCCCGGAGAAGACATCCCTGCAGCGCTGTGCCCGGCGGGTCATCCGCCTCTCCGACTGTGTCTCTGTGGGCCCTGCAGGCACGGAGAGCTGCCCCAAAGCCACTGCTGCCTTCTATCTCACCACCACAGAGAAGAGCTACGTGCTGGCGGCAGAGCAGAGGGACGAGTGGATCTCCCAGCTCTGCCAGCTGGCTTTCCAGGTACCGTGGGGTCTGCCGTAGACAGGACCCCTCACGCTGCTCCTGGCTGGGGTGAGCTGGGGGGCTCCAGGGCAGGCTGGGGGGCTGTGCTCCCCCAGTCCAGGGCAATGCTAATATCCCTCTGTTTCAGGGTGCAAAAGAGACGAGGACCCAGCCCAGCCCTGCTGTCCCCATGGAAGAGAACTCCCTCTACTCTTCCTGGCAGGACTGTACGTGCGGGAGCCGTGGATAGGGCTGGGGTGGACTCCGGCCCAGTGCTGCTGTGCTGACCATGCCTTGCTCTGCTCCCACAGTGACTGAATTCCCAGTGCTGGTGGTCCAGACGGATGCAGCCACCCGCTGTGGCCTGCACGGGCACTACTTGCTCTCGGCCCTTCCTCAGAGCCTGACGCTGAAGGATGCCCAGTCCCACCAGGCTCTGCTTACCTGGCCCTACCCCTTCCTCCGCAAGTTTGGCCAGGATCAGGTGAGTCCCCCACTCCCTCCTTGGGGCTATTGCCTGCCCAGGGTGGGTGCCAGCCCCTCACCCTCCCCTCTGCCCCTCCAGACTGTCTTCTCCTTCGAGGCTGGCCG